CTTGGCCTGCTGTGTTCATCCAGCTCTACACCTTGTTATCACAGGAATGGGTCTTTTTTCAGACTGGCAAGATGTCATGAGTGATGTACCACAGGGGTTGGTTGTGGGGCCTCAACTCTTTACAACTTATAGAAATGATTTGGATGAAGGGATCAAATGTATGATAGCTAAATTTCCTAATGACACTAAGACAGGTAAAGTGAGTTATGAAAAAGATCTAAAGAACCTACAAAGGGATATAGATAAGTGGGCAAAGATCTGGCAAATAGAGTACTATGTGGGAAAGTAAGAATTTAAAAATGAAGGTACAGCAAATAATTGGGAAAGCTGATGTCATGTTTTACTCCAAGTGTAGGGAGGTTATGCTCCGTTACAGAGAGCATTGGTAAGACCACATCTGAATTACTATGTAAAGTTCTAGTCACTGTGCTTACAGTAAGATGTTAATGTGTTGGAAACCGTTCAGAGAATTTATAGAATCATATAGTACAGAAGAAGCCCTTTGGCCCATCAGGTCTGCACCGACAAAAACTACTCTAAATCCACACTTGTCCCATTAATTACCACTTAGCCCATTGCTTTGATTATTATGATACCTCAAGTGCTCATTGATGTAGTTTTTAAAGGTTTTGAGGTTTCCTGCCTCGACTACCCTCCCTGTGTATTCCAGATTCCCACCACCTTCTGGGTGAAAACATTCTTCCTCAAATCCCCTTTAAACCTCCTGCCTTTCACCTCAAAATGATGCCCCCTTGTATTGACCCTTCAACTAAGGGGAATGGTTGCTTCCTATCTACCCTGACCATTCCCCTCATAAGGTTATACATGCAATCGGGGTTTCTTTTCCTCAGCCTTCTCTGCTCTGAGAAAAGCAACCTGAGCTTATCCAGCCTGTATTCATAGATAAACTGCTCCATCCCAGGCTAACCTGGTGAATTTACCCTGCACCCCATCCAATACAATCACATCCCCCTTCCTATAGTGTAGTGACCAGAACTACACACAGTACTCCAGGTGGGGCCTAATCAAAGTCCTGCACAGCTCCAACATAATCTCCCTGCTCTGGTAATCTATGCCACAGAGTCAGAAGGCACATGACACCAGGTTATAGTCCAGCAGGTTTATTTGAAATCCCAAGCTTTCGTAAGTGCTGCTCCTTCGTCAAGTGAAGTCACATCAGAACATTCTTCCCACGTCCAGTCTATCCAGTCCCACCAGGATTTTATGTGTTTCTACAAGATCCCCCCCTCATTCTTCCAAACTCCAGTGAGTACAATCCCAGTCGGTCCGATCTTTCTTCATATGTCAGTCCTACTATCCCGGGAATCAGTCTAGTGATCCTTCACTGGACTCCCTAGATCAAAAGAATGTCCTTCCTCCAACTATGAGACCAAAACTGCACATGATACTTAAAGTTTGGCCTCACCAAGGCCCTGTATAACTGCAGCAAGACATCCCCACTCCTACACTTGAATCCTCTTGCTATGAAAGCCAGCATGCCATCGGCTTTCCTCACTGCCTGCTGCACCTGCATGTCAAACTTCAGTGATTGTTCCACCATGTCACCTAGGTCTCATTGCACCTCACCTTCTCCTAAACTGCCACCATTCAGATAATAATCTGCCTTCCTGTTTTTGAGAACAAAGTGGATAACCTCACATTTATCTACATTTTATTGCATTTGCCAAGTATATGCTCACTCAGCCAGTTGGTACAAGTCACCCTGCAGCCTCTTAGGATCACAGCACACACTGTCACCCAGCTTAGCATCGTCTGCAAATTTGGAGATATTGCATTCAATTCCTTCGTCAAAAGCCTTTTGAAAGTCCAGATACACAACATCTACTGATTCACCCTTGTCTACTCTACTGGTCACATCCTCAAAAAATTCCAAAAGATTTGTCAAGCATGATTTCCCTTTAGTGAATCCATGCTGACTAGGACCAATTCTCTCACTACTTTCCAAATGCTCAGTTATTACATTCTTAATTATTGACTCCAGCATTTTTCCCACCACCAATGTCAGGCCAACTGGCCTATAATTCCCTGTTTTCTCTCTCCCTCGTTTTTTTTTTAAAAAGACTGGCATTACATTAGCTACCCTTCAGTCCATTGGAACTCTTCCAGAGTCTATAGAATGCTGGAAAATGATCACCAATGTGTCCACTATTTCTAGGGCCACTTCCTTAAGTACTCTGGGATGTAGAGCATCAGGCACTGGGGACTTATTGGGTTTTAATCCCATCAATTTCCCCAATACAATCTCCTGATAATTAAGAATTTCTTTCCGTTCCTCCTTCATGCTTTTGACCCTCTGTCCCCTGGCATTTCTGGAAGGTGATCTGTGTCCTCTTTAGTGAAGACAGATCCAAAGTATTTGTTCAACTGGTCTGCCATCTCTTTGTTGTCCATTATGAATTCACCCAACTCTAACTGCAAGGGACCTATATTTTTCTTCACCAATTTTTTTCTATTCACATAACTATAGAAGCTTTTGCAATCAGTTTTTATTTTTTCCGCAAGCTTACTGTTTTCCCCTTCTAAATTAAACCCTTTGTCCTCCTCTGTGAAGTTTAAATTTCTCCCAGTCCTCAGGTTTGCAGCTTTCTCTGCCAATTTATATGCCTCCTCTTTGGCTTTAACACTAGCCCGGATTTCCCTTGTTAGCCATGGTTGAACTACCTTCTCTGTTTTACTCTTACGCAGGACAGAGATGTACAATTCTTGAAGTTCATCCATGTGTTCTTTAAATGCTGCTGTTGCCTATTCATCATCAACCCCTTAAGTATCATTGACCAGTTTATCCTAAACAATGCATGCCTCATACCATCAAAGTTAGCTTTCTTTAAGTTCTGGACCCTAGAATCAGATTTAACTGTGTCATCTCCACCTTATTGAAGAATTCTACCATATTATGGTCACTCTTCCCCGAAGCATCTCACACCACAAGATTGCTAATTAATCCTCTCTCATTACACAAAACCCAGTCTAAGATGGCTTGCTGTCTAGGGGGAAGGTGATGACCTAGTGGTATTATTGCTGGTCTGCTAATCCAGAGACCCAAATAATGGTCTGGGGACCCAGGTTTGAATCCTGCCACGGCAGATGGTAGAATTTGAATTCAGTTTTTAAAAATCTTGAATCTTGAATCTCAGTGACCATGACTCCAGTGTCAGTTGTTGGAAAAACCCATCTGTTTCACTAATGTCCTTTAGGAAAAAAAAACTGCCATCCTTACTTGGTCTGGTCTACATGTGACTCCAGACCCACAGCAATGTGGTTGACTCTTAACTGCCCTCTGGGCAATTAGGCATGGGCAATAAACGCTGGCCTAAGCAGAGAAGCCTTCATTCCATGAATGAATAAAGAACAAAAAAGTTTGTTCCTCGACATATTGGTTGAGGAAACCATCCCTCATACATTCCAGGAAATCCTCCTCCATTGCACTGCTACCAGTTTGGTTAATCCAATTGATATGTAGATTGAAGTTACCCAAAATAACTGCTGTACCGTACTGCATGCATCATGCCATTCCCAACCTCACAACTACTGTTTGGTGTTGTGTACACAACTCCCTTTGGTGTTCCACAGCTCCACCCACATAGATTCCACATCATCCAGGCTAATGTCCTCCCTTACTATTGTGTTAATCTCCTCCTCAATCAGCAACACTACCCCATCTCCCTTTCCTTTCTGTCTATCTTTCCTGAAGATTGAATAACCCTGGATGTTGAGTTGCCATCCTTGATCACCCTGGAGCCAGGTCTCTGTGATCTTAATTACATCATATCCATTAATAACTGTCTGCCCAGTTAATTCAGCCACCTTATTACAAGTGCGCGAATGAGCCTTATTAGAAAAGACTAGACAGGCAGGAAAATCTAGAACTCGGTGTCATAGTTTAAAAATAAGGAGTGGTCCATTTAAATCAGACAGGAGGAAATTTTTTTTTCTGAGGGTTGAGTGTCTTTGGAATTCCCTTCCTCAAAAGGCAGTAGATACAGAATCTTTAAATATTCTTAAGTCATAGATAGATAGATACTTGACTACTAAGGGAATATAAGATTATCACGGATATGCAGGAATACAGAGTTGATGTTAAAATCAGATCAGCCGTGATCTTATTGAATGTCAGAGCAGGCTCAAAGGGCTGAGTGGCCTACTCCTGTTGTTTGTTCATATGCAGCATTTCTTGCTTGGGGTGAAGGTTGGGAATGCTTTGTTTTGTGCAGATATGTGATAGAAAATATAGCATGGAGAATTGGAATTTGTAATGAACAAGGAAATGTTCATTTATACCATCATCCCAGTTGCGATGAGTCAACTCAGAACAGAGCTGATTTAATCATTCAATGGCCCAATCACTTTCCACCTTTATCAGCATGTCTGCACTGATTATAAAGCTCACATGCATCCTTTGGATCTCAGACTACTTTTATCCAAGTGTGGTATGAATGATCATTTTCTGCTTTGACCGTCATCATTTACCAACTTCACAGACTGAGGAAGAAATTGTGAAATCGCTGGTGACACTCATAGAATACCTAAATAATGATCTGTTGAACGACCGGAAAAAACGGATGAAGATTTTCATGGGGTAAGGCCCTGTACACTCCGCACTCATAATCACACTGGCACCTCATTGTCTAACTCCAGTTCTCCTCCAAAGGCTACGAATGTAAGGCCCCGTTTCTGATATGGAATATCACTGGTCTCAGCTGTTAGTTAGGAATTGGGGCAAAAGAGTTACAACTCTGACTTGTGTAATTAACCCTTTTGGGGTCTAGGTCACCTGTGTAGCTAACCTGTTAATGCTGTTAGTACTGTCTGTGTAAATAACTCAACAACAATCTCTATCCTCTCGTATAATTAATGCATTATTATTCTTGGTGCTCATGAATAATTAACCTGTTATTTCTGTTAGTGCTTTCCAATAGTTACCTATTACCAAAAAAACCTTATTATTGCTCTCTTTCAGTGCTTTAGTAAATTAAATTGTATATGCCCCCGTGCTGTTGTGTAGTTGAATGAAGAGAGCTGACTATGAGAAAATCAAAAGCTGAGAAAGTTAGAATGGTGAATGGAAATTAACTGGACTTGTCTCCAGACCATGTTCTAACACTCAGTTTTGCCAAAAGTCTACTGACTGTTATATTTCTCTCTTCTTAGCACTATCAAAGTGAATCTGTTCCATATCACCTACTTGCAGTTCCAGGAATTGGTAAGTATCAAATCAGTTACACCAAACCAAGTGTAATTTTATAAATTAGACTGTGATCATCTCTGATAATGCTCTTTTTTAGAGACCGTAGGCAAATGTAAGAATACTGGGATCAACGCGCTGACAGGAACATTGTTCACTGGGATCAATACCCTGACATGGTTCACTGGGATCAACATTGTGACATGTTCACTAGGATCAACACCCTGACAGGGACGTGATTCACTGGGTTCCAATGAAACCTTAATCTCTTAGACATCAAGGACTATTTTGTAATTACAAATCAATCCTTACGTGGGAAGAATGGTGCCTAAATCTAGTTAGGTGAACATTCTTATATCAATCAATTTGATTCATTTATATCATAGATAACTAACTTCCCACGAGCACATCCACAAACCACTGGGTTAATGAATATAATTCTTTCGCATCGAATTATTGATGGTAGTGGACCAACAGTTATCAGTGTTTAAATCTGAAAGATAGCTGTGCAAGTAATTTAGCAGCAAGAATGAAAGAAGAGTAAGATCATCAAAAGTTGCAATGGCATAGTGGCTGTGTCACAGTAATAGTCACCATTAATGTGCTTGCTGATTATAAACTTTATGAGTAGGAATATTATTTGAAATTGATGTAAATTGGTGAAATTAATTTTGAGAATTTAACGTGGATTGACAACTTCAAAGATATTCAACCTGCTCAGAGATTGTAGTCCATAGTTAGTCGTGCTTTGAGACTTTAATTGACCTCAGCCTGGTGTAATTGACCTTCATGCCTGGCTTCCTTTGGAAGTGGTGTACCTTCAGGGTGATGATCCTCCCTCTGTTGAAGTGCTATATATCCCTGGCTATATTTATCTTCTGTTCTGGCTGCTGTATCTGGACTTAAATTTCACTTCCCTCCACCTCAGGGAAACTCACAGAACTATACAGCACGCTTGCCTCTGCTTGTAACTGTCTAGGATAATGATATTCGAACACCTGCAACCTTCTCGCCCTTTGTCTTTCCCTGTCCTGTCAAAGGCTGAAGGATGACTTTGTTGGAGGTGCCCCTCCCTCCGTTTACAGAGATCTGTTTCTACACACTAGACCAAAGTGATAACACGCTGACAGACCTGTGTGCCTGGCTAGAGGAAGTGCCCGCCTTCAAACCACATCTTCTTTGGGATGAAAATTTGCCTCGTAAAATCTATCTAAGATGAACAAATTACTTTGCCTCCTGATGTTTGCTACAGTTCTCTGAACTACTTACACAGTTTGTAAAGTTTCTACTTTGTATACCCAAGTCTGTGTCATTTTCACATAACAAGGAAAACAATCAACCTTGTACCAAGCTGACTGTGTACCCAAGTTCCTACTGTACCTTTTTATTACATGAGCTTCTATTTTCCAAATAATCTGTTAAATGCTTTTTGAAAACCCATATTTTATAATCACCATAGAGGTAAATTAATTTAAAAAGTAGATTTCAACTTTTAGTTAATAGGTGAAAGAGTGACAGAAGATTTTACGTCTTAAGGACTTTTATTACGACAAGCAAACTAGGAACAACATTGAGTAAACATTATTTGTGAAGACAGCTGTCATGGACAAAGGGGTGAAATTACATTAAGACTGCCTTTCCACTCTTAGGCCTGGAACAGTGAGGTACTGTTTGATTTACTCCTTTCCCTTATTGAGGTAAGCAGAAAGGTGTCTCCAAACCTTATTTTTTGGATTTCAAGGTTTGAAATAAACCCACAGCAAAAACCTTTAAGTTAAAATCAAAGATATGATGTTAATAGCCCTTGAAAATATGGGGAAATTGCTTTGCTACTGCATCCACATACACAAGTACTCAGAAAATTAAGAAAGACAGGACATGAGGAGATAGGATATAAATTACAAGATTTAGTAAATCCAGAGTCATAGTTATATGGCGCGGCAACAGACCCTTTGGTCCAACTCGTCCATGCTGACCAGATTTTCTAAACTGGTCTATTCCCATTTGCCAGTATTTCAACTAAATCCCTCTAAACCCTTCCTATTCATGTATCCATCCAGATGCCTTTTAAATGTTGTAATCATACCAGCCTTCACCACCTCCTCTGGCAGTTTGTTCCATACACGCACCATCCTCTGCATGAAAAAGTTGCCCCTTAGCTCCCTTTAAATCTTTCTCCGCTCTTCTTAAACCTATGCCCCCTAGTTTTGGACTCCCTTACCCTGTAGAAAAAAAAATCATGGCTATTCACCCTACCTATGGCCCGCATAATTTTATAAACCTCTATAACATTACCCTTCAGTCTGATGCTCCAGGCAAAAAAAGCCCCACCCTATTCAGTCTCTTCCCTACAGCTCAAACCCTCCAATCCTGGCAACATCCTTGTAAATCTTTTCAAGTTTAACAACATCTTTCCGATATCAGGGAGACCAAAATTGAATGCAGTATTCTAAAAAAGTGGCCTGACCAATGTCCTGTGCAGCCACAACATGACATCCCAACTCCTATCCTCAATGCACTGACAAATAAAGGCAAGCGTACCAAATACCTTGTTCACCACCCTGTCTACCTGTGACTCCGTTTTCAAGGAACTATGCACCTGCACCCCTAGGACCCTTTGTTTGGCAACACTTCCCAGGGCCCTTCCATTAACTGTATAAGTCCTGCTGTCATTTGCTTTACCAAATGCAACACCTCATATTTAAATCAAAATTAAACTCCATCTGCCACTCCTTGGCCCATTAGCCAATCTGATCAAGGACCCTTAGTACTCTGGAGATAACTCTCTTCACTGTCTACTACACCACTAATTTTGGTGTCACCTGCAAACCATACCTCCTATATTCACATAAATGATGAAAAGCAGTGGACCCAGCATCAATCCTTGCAGTACACCACTGGTCACAGGCCTCCAATCTGACAAAACAATCTGTACCACCACCCACTGTCTCCTACCATCAAGCCAATTTTATATCCAATTGCTACCTCTCCCTGGATTTCTCATGATCTAACCTTGCTAACCAGTCTACCATGCAGAACCTTGTTGAACACCTTGCTGTAGACAATGTATACTGCTCTGCCTTCATCAATGTTCTCTGTCACTTCAAAAAAAACTCAAGTTAGCAATACATAATTTCCCAAACACAAACCCATGCTGACTATCCCTAATCATGCCTTGCCTTTCCAAATGCGTGTAAATCCTGTCCCTCAAAATTCCCTCCAACAACTTACCCACCACTGAGGTCAGGCTCACTGGTCTATAATAACCTGCCTTTTCCTTACCACCTTTCTTAAATGATGGCGTCACATTAGCCATCCTCCAGTCTTCCGGAACCTCACCTGTGGCTATCGATGATAGTAATATCTCAGGCAAGGGGCCCAAAAATCTCTTCCCTAGCTTCCCACAAAGTTCTGGGATACAGCTGATCAGGTCCCCAATATGTATGCACCTTGTGCATTTTAAGACATCCAGTATCTCCTCTTCTGTAATATGGAGACTTTTGAAGATATCACAATTTGTTTCCCCTCGATCTCTGGCTTTTATATCCTTCTCCACAGTAAATACTGACCTGAAATACACATTTAGTATCTCGCCCATCTCCTGTGGTTCCACACATAGACAGCCTTGTTGATCTTTAAGGGGCCCTATTCTTTTCCCAGTTACTCTTTAGTCCTTAATGTCCTTATGGAATCTCTTTGGTTTTCCTTAACTCTATTTGCCCAAGATCTCCACCACTGTTCAGCCCACTTGGGCAATTCAATAAACTCAGATTTCAGTCTAGGAAATGTTTTACTTTTCTTTTCAATACAGCCACAACTACAACTCATCACAAAGCTTTTCTTTAGTTATAAACAGGAGTGTAGAACATCCAATTAGCAAAATTCAGGACAAATGTTTGAAGTTTTGCACAGTACTTTTATGCATTGCTTATTAATAAATAGAGAGTCACTATCTGATTATCTGCACAATAGTCTATCGATTTATAGATGCACCAGAATGGTACTGGCACTCAATTGGTCAAATATTAACTGTTCTTGCTACATCTTCATGCTAATCATTGCCCAGCCAATCAGCACCCTCTTCTCATTCTGCATAAAATGGTGTCTCTTCACACCTACCTGCGTCACCACCACTCACAGCGTCCCTCTTCCAGTCAGGCACATAGAGTTGTGATATTGCTCAGCCATGAGTTAAGTGAATGTTGCCACAGATTTGAGGGACTGAATGATCGCCCTGTCATCTAAGACCAAAAACCATTGCTTGATGTTGTCCTAAATCATCCAGACCAAAGGACTTAGGTGTGCCTCACCTTAATCACTAATATCATCTGCTTATTGCTAGGTTGCTGAGGATCTGCAGGAACATGTGATAAATATTGGATCTGGCAATGGTTGCCAGATTATTTGTATTCCCTTGATTAGAGAAGTGTAAGTGATAATTAAGTTAAGGTGTTAACTATTTCCTCCAGACAAGTAGTCCAGAAAAAGGCAGCAAATTACTAAAAGTTCAGGGATGTTATCAGGGAGTAATTTTGTACACAGATTTTGGTAGGTTTGTGCGTTCAGGGTTACAGGATAAAGCAGGGGACATTTTTGTTTATCTGCAGGCTTTTGTGAGGGCTGCATTTTTTTTTCAGTGTTCCTTCTTCATTGTCATTAACTCACTTATTAGGTGATGCAGTCATAGAGTTATACAGCACAGAAACTGACCATTTGATCCAACTCATCATGCCGACTAGATATCCTAAATTAATCTAGTCTCATTTGCCAGCATTTAGCCCATATCCCTCTAAACCCTACCTACTCATCTACCCATCCAGATGCCTTTAAAATGTTGTTATTGTACCAGCCTCCACCACTTCTTCTGGCAGCTCCTTCTTTACATGCACAACACTCTGCATGAAAAAGGTGCCCCTAAGGTTTCTTGTAAACCTTTGCCCTCTCACCTTAAACCTATGCCCTCTAGTTTTGGACTATCCCAGCCTGGAGAAAAGACCTTATCTATTCACCCTATCCATGTCCCTCATGATTTTATAAGGTCACCCCTCAGCCTCTGATGCTCCAAGCAAAATAGCCCTAGCCTATTCCACCTCTCCCAGTAGCTCAAACCCTCCAACCCCAACAACATCCTTGTAAATCTCTTCTGAACCCTTTCAAGTTTCACAACATCCTTTCTATAGCAGGGAGACCAAAATTGTACACAGTATTCTAAAAGTAGCCTAACCAATGGGCTGTATTGCCACAACGTGACCTCCTAATTCCTATACTCAATGCACTGACCAATAAAGGCAAGCATACTAACACCTTCTTCACTATCCTGTCTACCTGCGATTCCACTTTTAAGGAACTATGAACTTACACTCCAAGGTCTCTTTGTTCAGCAACACTCCCCTGAACCTTACTAATAAGTGTATAAGTCCTGCCCTGATTTGCTTTTCTAAAATGCAGCACCTCACATTTATCTAAGTTAAACTCAATATGTCACTTCTTGGCCCATTGGCCTGTGTAGTATTTGTGTTGATTATAGAGTATTTTGATTCTAACAGAAGTGGAATAAGGAAAATTCATTTATATTCTCAAGAATGATCAATCCTCCATTAATCTTAAAGATACACCATAGAAAGAGAGGATTAATTTCCTAGACACCATAGCATTAAATTGACACAGGACAACAGGGATAAATTAAAGATAACACAGTGTGGAGCTGGAGGAACACAGCAGGCCAGGCACATCAGAGGAGCAGGAATGCTGACGTTTCGGGTCGGGGCCCTTCTTCAGAAGATGCTCTGATGCTGCCTGGCCTGCTGTGTTCCTCTAGCTCCACATCGTGTTATCTCTGACTCCAGTATCGGCAGTCCTTATTATCTTTCAGGGATAAATTAAAAGTTTTTTTCAGTAGTACAGAACTTAAACATTGCTAAAAAGGTATTAGATGTTAAAACTTTTCATCTTGCATTCATTGAGACAAGAAAACAAGAAACAGACTTAGCAAAAAGACCACATTGCAACATTTCCCATGGCAGTGACTTGACCAATCAGGGTCCAACTGTCTGGTCTGAGAATTAAGATTGACTGTTAACTGTTCTCGCGACATTGCCATGCTCATCATTGCCCAGCCAATCAGCACCCTCTTCTCATTCTGCATAAAATAGCGTCTCTTCACACATACCTGTACTGCCACCACTCACAGCGTTCCTCTTCTAGTCAGGCACGTAGAGTTGTGATATTGCTCAGCCATGAGTTAAGTGAATGTTGCCACAGATTTGAAGGACTGAATGAGCACCCTGTCTTCTAAGACCAAAAACCATTGCTTGATATTGTCCTAAATCATCCAGACCAAAGGATTTAGGTGTGCCTCACCTTAATCACTAATATCATCTACTTATTGCTAGGTTGCTGAGGATCTGCAGGAACAAGTGATAAATATTGGATCTGGCAAGTCCAAGGCAACTGTTGAGGGTCTATTCCAGCTCTTCCAGAAGCTCAAACAGCTACAGCATCAACGGATTTACTTAGTACCAGAGTAAGTGCCACAGTCCATCTCTGAATGTATGTATAATCACAGTGGATACAAGCAACTCGTGTGCCAACCATCCAGATTTATCTACTCAATTAGTGTACCGATTCACATGTACTCAACACAGTCAACCTCTGTCACTTATACATTTATGCAATGTACTTCCAGTAGATCTCCGGTCACAAAGTGCATGCCAGCAATACAATATTTATTGATGGTGCACAAAATACTCATGTACTCACACAGTACATGTCCAACACACATTCATTACTATACCTCTGTAACATATACTAAAATAATTCATTGTTAACATGCATTGTTTTTTACTGTGTACATCTGACATGTATATGCTATTAACATAGATTCTTGTAGATGTATTGTACCTATCCTTATAGTGCTATAATGATTTTGTTCCTGGAATCATAAGTCAGAGGACAAGAGTTCACATTCCACCAACACATTTAAAAATCTGGAAATAATTTGCTGGTACCAGTTGGAAACATGATGAAGTTGTCAGTATAACAGGTTTGAAGCCAATGCACAAAAGGAGCAACAAAGAAAAGAACAAAAGGGAAAGTCTGTGATAGGAGAGCTTGAATAATAAAACAGATTCTAGTGCAGGATGGAAAGAGAGGGTAATGGGAGAAGAAAAGAAACAGAAGCTGATTCTGAGATGGTAACTACAGGTAGCAGAATCATGACTACCAGCTGCTGTGGGGAGAAAAGTTGGTGTGTTGGTTATGAATTCTCTGTCAAATCCAGGTGGCTATAACTTGCCTAATCAAATCAAAAGATGAGACATTGTTTCTTTGAGCTTCCGTGGAACAGCGGCTGAGGACAGAATAGTCAGTGTGGAAGTGAAGTGGAGAATTAAAATGACAGATAACCGGAAACTCAAGAGTTATGCTTGTGGAGCTCAAAGTGGTCACCCCAGCCATGCAAACCACATTGTGAGCAGTGAATACAGTAACTAAATGAAAGAAATGCAAGTGTTATACTGGGCTGTAGATAGCGGGAAGCAAAGACGTAAAAGGAATCATATTACATCTCCTGCACTTGTAGTGGAAATGTGCCATGGGATAGAGTCAACCCCATGCAAGTATAGGAGGTGTACTGTGCATGTACCTTTTCCTTATCCGTGTTTGAGTCCCAAAATATTTCTTTTTATGCTTCTTTCAATTCAGTTTGTTGTATTTGGTGCTGTTCACTGGGAGACCAATGGACAACTACTTTGCAGAACACCTTCATTCAGTCTGCAAGTATGATCCTGAGCTTCTCAAGCTAGTCATTTTAATTTTCCAACCCAGTCCCAATCCGACCTAATTTTCTTCGGCTTTCAACACTGTTTCCATAAAGCTCATATACCTAAGGAACCAAACCAAGAATAGGCACTTCCTAGTTTTCTAGCCTAAATATGCAGTTCAAGACTTTCAGATCATAAATCCAGCCTCTGTTCTTCTAGATGATTGTTGCTAGTAATGATTCTGCTGCACCTTCCCCAGACTTAGCTTCTGTTTCTTCACTTCTCCTTTGTCCCCTCCTTTTACTTTGATGGCACTGTCATCCTTAATTTCATTTAATTTCTTCCATTTCTTTTTTTTGTTTTCCCTCCTTTGCCCTGTCTCTGTACTCAAAACTTGTTGCGTCTCCTGATTTTCCCAGTTCAGATGAAAGATTATCAACCTGAAATATTAAATCTGTCACTCTCCACAGCTATAGCTAGACCTGCTAAGTGTATCCACTAGTTTTAGGATCATAGACAATAATCCCTGGACTACCACAGTCTTCTCTTACCAGCACAGACCTGCTAAATCTATCAAATCTCCCGACTTATGACGAAATCTCCTGTTTCTGAACTTTAGCCCCTGCATGTGTTTCAACCAGTTTGAAGATTGATTCCCTGTGTTTTTCAGTGACCGTCCTCTTCCATTGGATGGCTTCCACAATTGGTTCAGCGAATCTTTACCCAAGTGGTTGCAAATGGTGTATGACAATTCGGTGGAGATGGTTCAGCGGGCTGTGTGGAAAGATCAGGTATTACACCTCTGGAGTGAATGACATGGGTTTATCACTTTCTGTATGCGGTGTATGCCAGTCAGGACTATATGGTTAGCATTCTTCTGTTGTATACTTCAGAAAAGCAACAAGAGGAAGGGGACTGGATGGGTTAGTGGGCTTTTTGTTTTGAGAATCGTGTTTGACTGCTCCATAAATGGGAAGGTAAACTGCTGTGTTTGCTGGCTGGCTGTCAGGGTTTGTATGAGATTGATATGGGTTGTCTTGTGGGCACGTGCCTATGGGATTTTCTGTACTCAATCTGCCACAGAGAAACAGGCCATTCAGCCCAACTGGGGTCATGTAGGCACAAGCCAACCTATGAAAGGAGGAACAAAAACAGAAGTTGCTGGAAAAGCTCAGCATGTCTGGCAACACCTGTGAAGAAAAAAATCAGATTAACATTTCGGGTCCGGTGACCCTTCCTCAGAACTGATGGTAGCTAGGAAATGGTCGGTTTAATATGCAGAAGATAGGGAAGGGGATGGATTAGGGAGTAAACAATAGGATAAAGGATTGAGCCCATAGAGAGAGAAAAGAGCAGTTGGATAGACAAAGGAGTTGGTAATGATCTGGCTAGGAGGGTGAATAGCTGTTAATGGGCACTGTTAGTGATTAACAATAGTGGGTGTGTAATGGCAGGCTATGTGATTGGATTTGTTGGGGGGGGGCGGGGTAGAGAAATTGAGGCGACCAATATCACATTGACAGTTCTCAATGAACAGATTGAGTGCAGCTGAAAGGCCAGAGGGAGGGGTCTAGGTGGAGGGAGAGTGTTGGAAATCGGCGAAGGGGTTTGTGAGATGGGGAGACGACTCTTGTCGAAAGAAATGGGCATGAAGGCGAAGATGGGAAGAAGATTTCGATGTCATGTTGTGCCCGAAATTCGTTAAGATGGGGATGCAGAGGAATAAAGCTGAGACCTTTGCTGTGTACAGAACGTTCAGCATCAGAGAGGAACCCTATGAAATTAGGGTTGGGTCAGGTCAACTTTGTTTATCTCACACTATACAGGCTTTTCTCTGAGGCAATATGACTTTTTGCTTTATTGTCATCAGAGAAAATTCCATGTGGAAATACATTTTGGGAATGTTGCTCATATGGTAAAATAAACCAAATAGTAACAAAAAGACAAAAATATCCTCTATCTCAAATATTTGACTTTAATTAAAATATGTATGAAAACTATTCCAGTGTAATTAGCAAAATCAGTCAGTGAATCCACCCGGAGTATAAATCCTCATTCATCGATCAGCTCTGGTTAGTCTTCCTAATGAATAAAGGGCACAATGAGCTTTGGGGCCGATTTATCCTCCATTGGCAGGATTGTATCCTCTTCCCCGAATGCGTGTAACAGTAATCCTTAGGAAAGGGGTGATTCTCATTGCTTGGGACAGTCTTTCATCACAATTCTCACGAGCAGATTTCATCAAGGCAGATCAGCTCATCAAATCCCCTTCCTGCCTGGTTCAGTAATCTCCATATCCTAAAAGAGTTTGCATTCCCAACACAGCCAAAGCATTGAAAAAAAAATAACAAACTCACCTACAGGCATACAGCATAAAGAGTTTTGCGATTGTAGGATCTACTCAAAAAATTTTTGAATTCCTGAGTATAATCATGTATATAATGCACACATCTGTGCATTGATAACTCTGATTCAACCTATCGTGCACCTTGACACCTAGTTACTTGTAGTTATTAACAATTTTAATGTCTATATTGTGGATTTTAACAGGAGCAGTGTAATTAACTGGCATTTTCCTTAAGTCTATAACTAGTTCTGTTTTCTTGCTCTCATTCAAAGATAAGCCCATGATGTTGGACGTAGTATATTAGCCTGGATAGAAGCCATGATGTGGAGATGCCACAAATGTCCAGAGCTCTGTTCCTTCATCAGAAGTCTTCATCTTGATGAAGGAGCACCACTCCGAAAGCTTGTGATTTCAAATAAATCTGTGGGACTATAACCTGGCGTCATTCGACTTCTGAACATGGATAGAGGATTGGCTAACTAATAGAAGATAGGTAGTTGGGATAAGGAGGGCATTTTCAGGATCATGACCTGTAACTAGTGGAGTGCCACAGAGATCAATGCTGGGGCCACAGTTATTTACAATATATGACTTGGATGAGATATATGAAAGTACTATAGCAGGTTTGTAGATGACAAAAATATGTGGGAAGGCAACTTGAGGATGGCACATAGAGTCTACAGAAGATAAGGGCAGGTGAAACAAGTGGGCATAAACTTGGCAGATGGAATGTATTGTTGGAAAATGAATGGCATTACACTTTGGCAGTAAGAATAGAAGAGCTGAATATTAATTTAAATGGGATAGACTGCAGAAGGCTACAACAAAGGGATTTGGAAATCCTCATCCATGAATCACGAAAGGCTAGCAGGTAGTAGGGAAGGCAAATGAAATGTTGGTGTTCATTTCAAAGGAAATGGAGTATAAAAATAGAGAAATTTCGCTGTAACTGTACAAAGCATGTGCTAGAGCACAGCTAGAATACTGTGAACAGTTCTGCGCCCATTATCTAAGGAAAAATATAATAACTTTGGAGGCAGTCCAGAGACTGTTCACTAGGCTGATACCAGGTATGGGGGCCTCTTACGAAGAAAGGTTGAGTAGGTTAGGCCTATACTTGGAATTTAGAAGTATGAGAGGGGACATCACTGAATCAAACAAGATTCTTAAGGGACTTTTTAGGGCCAATGCAAAAAGGTTGTTCCCCTTTTATGGGAGAGTCTGAAACCAGAGGGCATAGTCTCAGAATAAGGAGTCACACATTTATGCCAATAAAGAGGAGGAATTTCTTCTCTCAGAAGATGGTGAATCTGTGGAATTCTTTATCACAGAGGACTGTTAAGACCATGTCATTTAGTATATTTAGGACTGAGAGACTTTTAATTAGTAAATGATTCAAGGATTATGGAGAGGGGAGGCAGGAAAGTGGAGTTGAGGATTATCAGATCAGCTGTGATATCATTGAATAGGCGGACCACACTTGATGGGCCAATTGGCCTACTTCTGCTCCTATGAGTAATGCCCTTATGGGTTATGGCTTACAATTTGACAGAATTGTAATCGCACCTTTTTACAACATCTCCACAGAATTCCTAGTTTTAATTGTTATTCCTGATAAGACTCCCAAATATCATACCAACAGCATACTTCAAGATCATTATGTTTGACATGGTGTGGTGGCTCAGTGGTTAACACTGCTGCCTCACAGTGCCAGGCACCCAGGTTTGATTTCAGCCTCCGGCATTGTCTGTGTGGAGTTTGCACATTCTCCCCATGTCTGCATGGGTTTCCTCTGTATGCTCCGGTTTCCTCCCACAGTCCAAAGATGTGCAGGTTAGATGGATTGGCCATGTTAAATTGCCCATAGTGTCCAGGGATATGCAGTCTAGGTGGATTAGCTATGGGAAACGCAGGGTTACATGGGTAGGGTAGGGGGTCTGGGTGGGATGCTGTTCAGAGGGTCGGTGTGGACTCTTGACTTGATTTAAGCTTTATTGTCACATGTCCTCAAGTACAGGAGTATAGTGAAAAGTGTATAATGTTGCCAAACACGGCACTGTCTTAGGTATGAAGGTGGACTGAATGGCCTGCTTCCACACTGTAGGGATTCTATTATTCTATGACAGTCATTGATATAGAGGATAAACCGTATCAGTCACATTAAGTAACCCTGAGGAGATTCTAAATAGTTACAAACAGTTTCTGTTTCAATGTTAACTCTCAGTATTATTTCTACAGCTGGAGTGTATGGGGGAAAAGAATAAACACAGTACCTCTGTTGTGGATATTGGAACCTGCTTCGCCAAGATCAAACACACTTGGACTGAGCTGAGTTGGCCAGAACCTGAGGAAGCTTTTGTCATCATGGTCAAGCTAACAGAGGTGAGTTGGAGCCTTGTGAAGCAGCAGGGCTAGGTCATTTAGAACACTTCATTCTCATTATTGGGTTTACCATGGTAAGGCACCCTCTGTTACCTCTCTACTCAGTAGAATTTTGTTTTGACACTTTGGCTTGGACTTTCATCATGAGTCAAGTCCAAAAAGTCATTAGAATTCCTTGCTCCATGACTTTTGAAAATGGTGGCTCGAGTGTTTTGATTTTGGTTGAGAACATGGTGGTGAGGAAAGGAGCTTTCTTTTTTTGCTGGTCTGTTCCTTTGGTGCCTCAAATAACTTCAAATAATGTTAATCTTGTCTCACACATGTCTTGTGTGATGTAACCTCTATGCCTCATTCTGTCCATGTTTTTTTCACCTTATGATCTGTATGTCGTTGCTTACTGTGATCTGCCTATACTGCTCGTAGACAAAGCTTTTCACATGTACTTAGGTGCATGTGACAATAAATCAAATCAATGCACCAAAACATAAAACAGCCCTGACCCCTCTGTGCTCTATCCATTGCCAACCCAATCCATCTCATACCAAATACTTACCATGGTAGAACCATCCACCCTCCATGCCATCTTATGCCCCTGTACTGAAACCCATGGTTCCTTATACCCTTCATGTCAACAAATGCACCACTACGACACCCAAATAGTCCTCTTAGCCCCTATGCCAACAGTGCTGACCCATGCCTCCCACCCACCATCCTTTGACCTTGCATCTACCAAGCAAGCTCACCTTGTGGACAGATCACAGGATGCATGCAGAAATGAGATAAAATGAGGCTGAGATTTTCCCCTTTTGAGATTAAACGTGGGGACAGGAATGTTAGGTGTTGACTACTACCCACAGCACTGGGGAAACTCACCGTCACACACCAATCAGTTTCAGATCTGACTGACAAGCTTCCTGGTCTGTCGAGGTCTTGAGAGTAACGTCCTGGCTCACCAGAAGTTGCCAACTAGTCAAAGGTTGGCAGCTTCTGGGTCCTAAAGATTGTCGGCCAAGGACTGAAGTTCAGGGAATACAATGATGAGAAGGCGAGTCTTTTTCTTTTGTTTCTTGTGCTCTGGGGATTGTGGGGAGAGGGGTCAGAGGCAAGAGTGGAGTTGGTTTTCTGAGGCCAAATTCTTATTCCCCCACCATATGTGACTCCAATAACTCCAGAATCTGGTAATAGAAGATGATCCAACATCTCTTCTCCCCACCCCACCAAATACAGTAGACATGTTGCCGTGGTTATCCTTTGAGGAGCTCAACCACTTCTTTCCCCTGGACAGTATTGACCACTTGAGGCTAGCAAATCAATGAACCTTCTTGCCTAGCATTTATTTGTTTAAAGGACGATTATCTCTCTGGGGCCTACTTGCCACCCGTTTTATCACTTGCAGGGAGGGGATAATTGTCTTACAGACTTTGCTATATTATAAAATCTCTTATCATAAAACCCATTTGTTAAATTTATGTTCTTTCAACAGATAAAGTCTGATAACAACAAATATTTGATTAAAGTGCATAAACCCTTATAATTGAAAGCATTAAAGTGGAATTCTAGTTAATTCCAAAGTGTCTATAGCCATTTGTAGTGGTCAATCAAACTGTGAAATGGCAGGCACCTTGATTTGATAATGGATGTTTGCAAAATTAGTCATGTGGCTGTAATCCAGTAATAGAAAGGTATGACAGAAATAGCAATCAGTATTTTTGTTTTTCAGAAAACAGGCATTATTTTCAAGCATTTAATGGACAGGACTTGTAAATGTCTTGACAGCTTTGATACTTGCTTTTCAAATGTCATCTTGATACTTTGACATTCCTTTAACAGCTCATCTGGACACTTCTGATAATGTCCTCTTGACAGTTTTTATAGTTTTGACAATCGACTTTTTCAGGTCTGTTGACAAGTTAAATGAGCTTGATTGTTAATGAGTTTTTTTTTACTTTTTACACACATTCATGCCCGCTTTTAACATTTCCAAAGAGTACCTTACTTTCCCCAAATGTGTTCTACAGCAATATCTAAGGGGACCTTAACTCTCTAATGGAGTAGCCCGGCTATCCAAAGAAAACAAAAAGTTCAGACTTGTTCTGACTGGATCTATGCTGTGCATTTTGGGTTTCACAACCCTGAACTACCATAATCCAACTTGAGTGAAGAGAGCTGGTATAAATGGTCAGCCTCCTCCACAAACTGTACAAGCACAAAATGTAGTCCCTGTGAAAATGGGAGGGGCCACATTCAGAGGTGGGCCATGCCACTTCCAGGCTTGTTCCTCATGAGGTTTCTTCACCATTTCAGAAAATACAAATGACCTGGAGTAACTTTGGCTGTGCTACACATCGTGAAAAGAGCTGTACTGAGCAGGGAAAGGAGATTGCCAGCAGGTCTGGGTATGAGTCACCCGAAGATACATACGGTCCAGTTTACGTTCTATAATTGATTTCTTTTAAAGAGAAGTGAGGGAGCTACAGATTTCTCAGATGTTTGATAGTCTCCAACGTTCAACCTTGATGTAGGCATTTTAACCACAGAACATAGCATCCTTACAGAGAGGTGCCCTAGTAGTACCTTCAGTGCCTTTAGTGCCCTCAGTACCATTCAGGTAGCTCGGGGTCAGTAACAGGGGCTCATATAATAGTGTTAAACCACATTGCACTCCCTCTCAAACTAGTCCCCATGGGTTTCAAAGCCACAAGATTTGAACAAATCCAAGAAAAAAAAACTTATTGATAAAATAAGAGCACAGCTGTAGTTCTTGTAGAACTCCTCTGTGCCATTACTCCCCTGTAGAATATCTGTTTCAGCATAATCATAATACTGTGTCAAATCTTAAAACCTCATTGAATATCAGTGACAGAAAGTGAAAACTCACCAGTTTTTAGAGGTAATCTGAACAGTGAAACGGTGTAAACATTGCTGCAACTCTGAAGCTCTGTCTATTCTGTTTGATTGCACACACATCTGTAAAATTGACAGTCCTCATGCATTCTTTATGTTGCAGGACATGTGCAAGATTGCATTAATGTACTGTCGGCTAATTGAAGCGAGGGCAGAAGAGCTATCAGTCAAGCACTATCAAGTACACGCAAGTGATGTGAGTGTTGACTGGATCCGCATCCGATTAAACATGTCATTCAAAACTTCAGCATCCGCATCTCCTCAAGGCAACGTACCATCAGTAGTAGACATTGATCAACATTTTATTAAGTGTTCATATGAACAGAATGATATTGATGTTCATTAGTAGACAGCTGTTGATAGAAACAATTGGATATACTTGTCAGTTAAAATCATTTTTTTCCCAGATGTGGCATCACTGGCAATGCCAAGATTGATTATCTGTACCTAGATTGGCCTCAAAGTAGTAGATGTTCTTCCAGACCTACTATAGGACTACTGGTGGATGGTACTTTCACAACGTTTTCAGATTGGGAATTCCAAGAGCAATGAGGAAGGGATGGTGATCATTTGTCCACGTCAGGTTGGATGTGACCTAGAGGAATACCAGCTCCAGAGATCCAAGTCTCACGGAACTCTTACTGGAAATGTGGGTTGAAGGGCTTTGGATAGGGAGGGGAGGGGAGAGGTTAAAAGCCATATCACTCAACATGTCTTATCTTTACTCTTTTCAATTGTGTTAATCTTGGGCCATTACAGTAGTTTCTCAATTTTGGAGTGTTAATGGTAGCTGAAGGAATGGCTAGAAACGTTCCACTGATGTAAATGTCCAATACCACCTTCTGCAGTCAGACATCCATGGAGTGAGGTCACTACAATTATGCGTGGTACTCAATAACATGAAGCAGCTGTGGGAGGTTATCTCCAAGCTTCCAGATGAACTGGACTGGCAAGGCCTGAAGGAAGACACAGCCGACATGATTCCAGAGGACCAGATCCAAAGCACACTGCATACTCAACTGGAAACGTTCAATAGCTCAATCAACAACAAGATCAAGGGGGTGATCCAAACCCTTGCACAGAAGGTATGGAAATCATTAATGTAACCAGTTTGTCCACAATAGATGCATCTCGAGGTACTGTTGAATTTTGGGGAGTTTGTGATCACAGTTACCCATTTGACCATTTGTAAGCAATGTTCAAGATGTTGTTAAAAAGCAGCAATTTAAATACAATATGCTATTAAGGAGAGATTATTCTAATTTAAAAAAAAAAATATGCGGCTCATGACAGATAAGAATGATTCTCCATTCCCAAAGCCATTCTGTAGCATGGAGGAACAGGGCAGTGGTTTTGAAGTGGTGGAGTGTTCGTCCCTTATGTAATGTTGTCTTTCGGGGTAGTCTTTCATCACAGCTGTGTTTGTTCTTCCCTAAAGCTGATGTAGGGGAACACCTAGTCTCCTCCCAAGAAGACAGCAGCTTGTTCCCCTGGATTGTCTCTCTCCTCGCCTATCCCTGTTAATCTCTCTTATTTTGGGCTTAGGCCATCTCTGCTGTGTCAATCACCTGTCTAAACCCTCTCAGCTAATGACCGTGGGTGAAAATTACAAGCTTTTGTTCTTAGTAAATGGTAAACTAACCATCAGATGAAAGTGGGCAAAGGGGCAGCAGTCATCCTGGCATCATCTGATGATTACTTTACCATTTACTAAGAACAAAAGCTTGTATTTTATCCAATGATTTTCCTAATAGTGTAATGCAGCACCCAATATAAATAAAAACCAAAAGAACTGCGGATGCTGTAAATCAGGAACAAAAACAAAGTTGCTGGAAAAGCTCAGCAGGTCTGGCAGCATCTGTGAAGGAAGAAAACAGAGTTAATGTTTCTGGTCCGGTGACCCTTCCGCAGAACTGATGGTGTCTGGGAAAACATCAGTTTATATGTAGAAAAAAGGGGAGGGGAATGGTGTAGGGAGTAAATGATAGGATAGAGCCTAAAGAGAGAAAAGAGCAGTTGAACAGACAGAGTTGACAACGATGACGCTGGGAGGGTGAATAGTTGTTAATGGGGACTCTTAGTGACTAACAACAGGGGGTGTGTAATGGCAGGCTATGTGGTAACAAGGCCTGGTGTGTGGGGTGGGTGGCTGGGACATGGGAGAGTTTAGGCCCTAAAATTATTGAACTCAGTATTGAGTCTGGAGGGCTGTAGGGTCCCCAAGCGGAAAATGAGGTGTTGTTCCTCCAGCTTGCTTTGAGCTTCACTAGAACACTGCAGCAAGCCAGAGACAGACATATTGGTCAGGGAGCAGGGGGGTGCGTTAAAGTGGCAGGCAACGGGTAGTTCAGGGTCTTCTTTGTGAGCAGAACATTGATGTTCTGTGAAGCAGTCACCTAGTCTACACTTCGTTTTCCCCAATATAAAGGAGACCACATTGTGAGGAGCGAATGCAGTAGACTAGGTTCTGGGAAGTGCAGGTGAAGTGTTGCTCCACCTGGAAGGTATGTTTGGGCCCTTGGATACTCGGGAGGGAGGAGGTAAAGGGGCAGGTGTTGCACCTTCACTGGTTACAGCAGAAGGTTCCGTAGGGCTGTGGGGGTGTTGGAGGCGAAGGAAGTGTGGACCAGGGTGTCCCGGAGGGAATGGTCCCTGCGGGAGGCGGACAAGGGAGGGGAGAGAATATGTGTCTGGTGGTGGCATCTTGCTGGAGGTGACGGAAATGGTGCCTGATGATCTTCTGGATGTGGATGCTGGTGGAATGATAGGAAAGGACAAGGGGAACCCTATCACTGTTGCAGGAGGGAAGAGAAGGGGTGAGGGCGGAAGTGCGGGAGATGGGTCGGACCTAGTTGAGGGCCCAGTTGACCACGGAGCTGGGGAATCCTCAGTTGAAGAAGAAGTTGGACATTTCGGAGGCTCCCTTGTCGAAATTGGCCTCATCTGAACATATACGACGGAGACGGAGGAACTCAGAGAATGGGATAGAGTGTTTACAGGAAGTGGGGTGTGAGAATGTATAGTCCAGATAGCTATGGGAGTCAGTGGGTTTGTAGTGGATATATAAATCTTTAACAGTGATGCTTATGACCTTTCTTCTGTTTTCATATGCTGGAAATCTGTTAATGTTTGCAGAAGGCTGGTTACTGCTGTAACACTCGGGCTGCACAGAAAACGTCAAATGTGAAATACTAAACGGGATTCAGTTTTAAAGTGGACTCTAATTTCCAACAATCACTTTTACTAGCAGATGATCAGCAGTAAAATGAGACATCAAAAACTAGGATGGGGATCATCACTGGATCTGGGAAATAAGCAGTACTCACTCCATTTCATCAGAGGAAAGAGTCACAGAGTCATACGTCACGGAAACAGACCCTCCAGTCTAACTCGTCCGTGCCGATGAAGTTTCCCAAATTAAACTAGTTCACTTGCCTGAGTTTGGCCCATATTGCTCTAAATCTTTCCTATTCATGTCCCTGCCAGGGCTAGTAGATCCTTCTTGAGATATGGGGCCCAAAACTGTGCACAATACTCCAAATGTGGCCTGACCAGAGCCTTATAGAGCCTCAGAAGTACATTCCTGCTTTTATATTCAAATTCTCTCAAAATAAATGCCAACATTGCATTTGCCTCCCTAACTACCGTCTGAACGTGTAAGTTTATCTTGAGAGAACCCTGGACTAGAACTCCCAAGTCTCTTTGCACTTCAGAATTTTCTCCCCATTTAGAAAACAGTCCATGCTTCTATTCTTCTTACCAAAATGCATGGCCTCACACTTTCCTACATGTACTCCATCTACCACTCCTTTGCCCACTCTCCTAACCTGTCCAAATCCTTCTGCAGCCTCCCCACCTCCTCAATACTACCTGTCCCTCTACCTATCTTTGTATCGTCTGCAAACTTAGCCAGAATGCTTACAGTTCCTTCATCTAGATCATTAATGTATAAAGTGAAAAGTTGTGGCCCTGACACTGACCCTTGCGGAACACCATTTGTCACCAGCTGTCAACCTGAGACAGACCCTTTTATCCCCACTCTCTGCTTTCTGCCTGACAGCCAATCTTCTATCCATGTTAGCACCTTGCCTCTGACATTATGGGCCATTATCTTACTCAATAGCCTCCTGTGCAGCACCGTGTCAAAGGCCTTCTTGAAGTCCACGTAGATAACATCCATCAGCTCTCCTTGATCTAACCTGCTCCTTACTTCCTCAAAGAGTTCTAACAGATTTGTCAGGCATGACGTGACCTTGATGAAACCATGTTGACCCAGCCCTGTTTTACCATGCACTTCCAAGTATTCAGAAATCTCATCCTTCACAATGGACTCCAAAATCTTACCCACGATCGAGTTTAGGCTAATCGACCTGTAATTTTCCTTCTTTTGACTTACTTGATTTTTAAACAGGGGTGTCACATTAGTGATTTTCCAGTCCTCTGGGACCCTCCCTGACTCTAGTGATTCCTGAAAGATCACCATTAACACTTCCACTATCTCTTCAGCTATCTACTTAAGAACTCTGGGGTATAGTCCATCTGGTCCAGGTGATGTATCCATCTCCTGGCCATTTATCCACCTCCCGGCCATTCAGTTTTTCTAGCACCTTCTCCTTGGTGATGGTTACCATACTCAGCTCTGTCCCCTGACTCTCTCAAATTTTTGGGATATTACTCGTGTCTTCCACTGTGGAGACTGACGCAAAGTAATTATTCAGTTCCTCAGTTATTTCCTTGTTCCCCACTACTATCTCTCCAGCGTCATTTTCCAGTGGTCCAATGTCCACTTTTGCCTCTCTTTTGTCCATCACATATCTAAAGAAACTCTTACCGTCTTCCTTTATATTACTGGCTAGCTTGCCCTCATATTTAATCTTCTCCCTCTTTTTTTTAATGCCCTCTGTTGATCTTTGTAAGTTTCCTAATCCTCTGGCTTCCCACTGCCCTTTGCCACATTATATGCTTTCTCTTTTGCTTTTATACTGTCCTTGACTTCCCTAGTCAGCCATAGCTGCCTCATCTTCCCTGTACCATGCTTCTTTTTCCTAGGGATGAATTTTTACTGTCTCCTGAATTACTCCTAGAAACTCCTGCCATTGCTGTTCCACTCTCTTTCCTGCTAGGCTCCTCTCCCAGTCAATTCTGCCCACCTCCTCCCTCATAGCTCTGTAGTCGCCTTTATTCAGCTGTAATTCCGTTACCTCTGATTCTATCTTTTCCCTCTCGAATTGCAGAGTAAATTTAATCATATTATGATTACTGCCTTCCAAGGGTTTCTTCACCTTAAGGTTCCTGACCAAGCCTGCCTCATTGCATAACATTAAATTCAGTATTGCCTGTTCCCTAGTGGGCTCCACCACAAGCTGCTCCAAAAAACCATCTCGTAGACATTCCACAAATTCCATTTCTTATAATCCACTGCCAACCTGATTTTCCCAGTCCACCCGCATATTGAAATCCCTCATGATCACTGTGACTTTGCCTTTCTTACACTAGGAGATAGAAAAGGTGTGTATCTTGCGTCCCAGCTCCTGACTACTGTTTGGAGGTCTGTACATAACTCCAACTATGGTTTTTTTTCACCTTTGCAGTTCCTCAGCTCTACCCACACAGATTCTACACCATCTGACCCTACTTCGTTTCTTACTATTGATTTAATTTCATTTCTTGTTAATAAGGCACCTGCATCCCCTCTGCCTACATGCCTTGGATATTCAGCTCCAAATCCTGATCCCCTTGCAGGCATGTCTCTGTGACGCTCATCAGTCATATCTGCCAATTTTGATCTGCGCCACAAGCTCATTTACCTTGTTCCTTATACTGCGTGCATTCAGAGATAACACCTTCAGTCCTGTATTAACCATCCTTCTTCTCATTGTCGTTCGTTTATCCAGTGTGCTTGAAGTCTGATTCCTAACCGTTTCCAAACATTCTGTCCTATTTGTGTCTGTGCTGGAGACTTTAATAACCTCTCCTGTGTTGTCCTTTCCTGTCATTTTTTTTCATATTTTTCCACGCGGTTGAATATACCCCTACGGATGTTGCTTTGTTCCCCACTGAGGCAAGTTTCACCATTCCCTTCCCC